AATTGTTAATTGCGGTTCTCGCAACTAACAATTGATCAATCGTTAATTGCTGTTTCGCAATTAACAATTAATCAATTGTCAATCTTTAATTGCCAGAACAATTAAATTTTGCCCAACTGTTTTGGGGTAGATTGACTTCGTAACTGAAGTCGTAATAACTTCATGCAGCCGAAACCACGAATGCGTGAAGTCGTTATCCGAGACCTCGACTGCATGAAGTTAATAAGGAGGTTCTCAACTCCGGCAAAACAACAATTTGTGAACCGATTTTGATGATTCTGTTTACAGGAGGGTAACCTTAGGAGTAATCCCATTTCAATTTGAAGAAAATATTCCACCTCTAAGGATGGCAAACTAGGGGGTGAATGACTTTTGAGGTCGGTTTTTTTTAATACTCGATACTGAGATTATACTATATATTTTTTCCTAAGTGAACGATTCAACACTTTCACTGTTATGCTCAATCAACCAAAGCCATTTGAGGTTGTTTGGACTCCTAAAATTTTGGGCGGACAATAAAAAAATGTCTCTCGTACTTTAGTGTGCGATTGGAAAATTAAACGGATTGAAAATACTGCTGTTTTCCAGCGCTTGTACCCCAAGTTGTAACGCTAGTTTATTCGCCTTCTCCCGGAGCAATTTTACGCTACCTATTCGATATATGTACTCGTAGAATAAGAGTCGTCACACTTATCGACATGAATTCGCATTAAGCCTGTCAGAAAAACCTTTTATGTTGAGATAGGGCGTGTAATGTCGACAGTAGCTACCTTTAGCTGGGTAGCTAGTATCAGACACTATACTCGCTAATCTCAACGCCTGACCCGTTGGAACGCGAGACTTGTATTATTAGAGATCAGTGATCGTGACTCATAGTTTGTCAGGAGATCTTAGGTTTTCGCGATTGCTATACATTGGGTGTTGCTATTATTTCTGACTCAGCCGTGACGCCGTGACCATGGCACCTGTAAAGAGCACGGAACGTTAGTTTGTTAAAAAAACGAAAATTCGCCATTTAGCTCCGGAAAAATAGTACATTTCTAATCTTAAATAAAACACTTTCTAACTTTGTCTATTTATTCATCAACATACATAATATCTACATTTGCACAAATAAAGTATATTTATCTTAGAATTACATCAGTTAACGGTATTTAAGACTGATATAACACTTTTTCAATCATTTTTTGTTCCAAAATGTATGCAATAATGTGCCTTTTGACGCATCGATTGAACCTCCACTTATTTCGATGATAGCACTCAATACATGGCATATACAACAACACCTATGTAACGTTTATGGATATGAATTTTTAAAAGTAATAAATTAGTATAGGGAAGCAAACTAATATTTACAAAATTTGGAAGTTACAATTAAAATAATTTTATAAGTGGGATTATCAAATATTTAAGAAAAAAACATTATTTTGTAGACTTTAGGACAATCTTAAGCTGTTAGTCCACTAGAATAATCTATCTGAATGGATATGGTTTTGATTTTGTTGATTTTTAATAGCACACGTTTAAAATATTAAAGTGGACAAGCACCCTATAAATACATTGCATGTACATGTATTATGGTTTTAACTTTGGATTTATGTCATTCTTATTGATTTATTTAATCTGAATACTTGAACTACTCCAATATTTAATTTTATATACACTATGTAAGGGCTATTGATTCAATAAACCAATCAGTTTTCACATGATGATAAATGGTTTCATGGAATGTTTAAGCCTTTATAATGACTGGATACAACATTGTAAATATAAAATTAGCAAACCAAAAAGGTGTGACAATTAAATAATCACTCCCAATATTAGTAACGTACAGAAAGATGTTAAGTACAAGTTGAATAAAATAAAGACCCTACAATTTGTATCTAGTCATTAAATTTGAGACACAGTGCATTATGGTATTACATAAACTAATTCTATTGGTTACAAGTCACAAAAACACTCCAGTACAACAAAACTGTCCATACAAATATCTGTTACCTTAGCACAAAAATGCAGTAATTGAAGTCTTCAAACAGTAAAAAATTATTAGCAAAGAAAGTGAGAAAACAATATTTTTTTTAACTTAGGCCATATTAATATTGTTTACTATGACCATCAGTTAAGTTTACGAATCTTCAAGTTCGAAATATTGTCAAGTGCTAAGACCAGATATTATTTACAAAACCAATTAATTTTCACAAAGTTGTAGCTTAAAAACACAGTAACAATGATAATTTAACATTGTGGTATTATTTTAAATTTGAGTTTTTGCGCTAAGTTACAATTTGGGCACTGGCCGATTTTTGGTTTTCTTTATAAGGTCAAGGCAGGAGAACCAGTGCAGCTTGTACACTGAAAATGAAAAATAAATAAAAATTAAAACTAACACAGTATCATAACAATAGGCCTAGAGGCTACAGTTTGACAACATTCCAATGCTTGCTAGAGCCATCTCAAGATGTTATTATATTTATCAAATCAGAATTATTCAATAAATAACATATCATAATTTATTAAAATATCTCACTTGTTACTCTGGTAACCCCATTCAAATAATTGAAATTAATTTAAAGTATTTTTAACCTGAAATAAATTTTAATAGTTTAAAAAATAATGCCATAACTTTAGTTTTTCAAAAGGGGCATAAAGTGGCTACAATATAATGCAATTAACACTGTCAAGTGAAAAATAAAAATTTGTACAATTTAAAAAGTGTTCTTTAGATTAAACACCAATAACAAAATCTTAGCAAGGTAAGGCCTTTCAAAAAAAGACACAGGGGGTCTACACCTATTCTCTGTCCAACATCCGTCCAAAACAACTACTGTCAAATAAGTGATACTCGACAAATGAAAAGACGCATGACATGTCATTGAAGCTTCACATTTGACACATTGTCTTTTGATTTGGTTTGAGTATTAACTAATTGTACGGTAATTGTTTCCAATGAATGTCGGACGGAGAACAGGAATAGGCACGTTGAAGTGAATAGTAACCACAATTATTATTCACAATTAAAATCAATCAAATGCAGTTCAATTACATTAAATATACTTTAGTATACAGAAATACACTCTTATATGTATAGGACTCAAAAGAAGAATTGAATATTATTGAAGCAAATATTGTAGATAATACTATTATTATGCATCCTCACATGACTCTAGTTCATGAAGATTATTTTACAACTGACAACACTACAAATGGACATGTACCCAACTCACTAGGTAACAAACAAATTACAAATATTAAATCTCAAATAGATTACAATAGAATAGGTCCATTCTTATCCGAAGAAGTGCGGTTAAATTCCAATATAATAATTATGAAAATATGAGTTTACGTCACAATTACAACAGCAACAATAAATACATGGTACTTACAAGTGTTTATTCAAGTATTTACTTCTTAGATTACTGGTTGCCCATTCTGACTTTTGACGTCATATAAATGCCTACAATGAGGCCAAACAGACCAATAGCTGAACCGAAGATTTCTACAATGAGGATCTTAACAAACAGAGCTGCGTTGGCAGCATCAGCCAGGGCTGCGCCTGAGCCCACAATGCCTACGGCGATACCACAGAACAGATTGACCAGCCCTACAGCAAGTCCAGCCCCAAACATTACATAGCCAGCCATCCAGTTGTTTTGCTTTACACTTAACCCCATCGGTTCCGTGTACTTCTCCAGCATGCCCGACAGCACAATAGCAGTGATCAGGCCGTATATAGCGACGGCTTCACAAAAAATTACGGAGATCAAGTTCTTGGTCTTGATTCTGGGCGCTTTGACACCGCCGCCGACGATGCTCGTTCCAGTCGTGTGGATGCCCATCGCGGCGCCCACCACTGAGAAGGACACCGCGAAGGCGATTCCCAGTGTTCCCCACATGTACGGGGAAGTATTCTCCAGGAACCACCCAATACTCAGTTGCTCACCCCTTCCGTTCAGCAAATAGAACATAGAACTTATCACCACCAAGATACTCACTAGCAACAAAAAGAGGTAACTTAAGAAGTATCTCATCTTGAGATATTTGTTGAGCAATTTCAAGCAGTTCTACCCAAAAATCCCGAAAGGGACGGCCTTTTTTCGCCCAATTTTTGCCTTGACAGAAAACTAGAAGTCTTGTGATCACAAGACGTCACAGACAAGAAGAGAGTTGCCACTCTATGGTCAAAAGCTCGTGATTTAAGATTAACTAAAAAAAAAATTAAAAGGTATTCTCTAATGAAATTGCGAAATACTATAGGTTGTAGGGAAACAGAATGAACGTACTGTTTAAATTTTTATGTTTGTTATGGTTTCCAAATCAGAAAACAATTATATTATTTATAGTACTTTTTTGCCATTGCAATTGCAAATATATCGGCCACAGCTGCGTTCAAAAAAATTGAAGTGGTCGAATCGTAGGGATCGAAGCATTCACTCCATCAACAGCTGTCAAAAAAAATTTTGTTGGCTGGTTTTGGCAATGTGAAATTCGCTCTGGACCTTTTGGAGGGAAAAGTGTCGTTTTTATTTTGACTTTCAATTATTTTGTGAAATCTAGTTTAAAGTGGAATAGGATAGTGACATTGTGCCTTAATCGAAGATTAAAACGCGAAATTATACGAATCTCGAACTAAAATACCCGTATCGGCCCGTTTTAAGGAATCCCGAGTCAATCCAAGCACGCCGCATCAAATTGCCTATCCTCTTTGTGGCGGCCATAATTACAGAAACATAATTATACTTCATGTTTAGGCTGATGGCTTTGCCAAAGCCTTAATAATTTAAAAAAAAAAATTTTGGCAATGTTGATGTTCATTCAATTCATTCCATTCACTTGGCTTTTCTAATGTTTGTGCGTTGCGTGGTTGTGGATTTGTCATAGTTGTGGTCATAGTGTTTTTATTTGTACATACAATGTGATTTCTAAATGCAAGGTGCTTTTACTTTTAACCGCAGTAAAAAGGACATGACGTGTTCCACCGGCGAAACATGGAGTAGGCATATAATTATGAAGTCGTGGAAGAATACATTAGAAGATGCTGTCCGCTTACGCCAGGTTTATTGTTCGACACTCTTACCTAGTTCTGTTTGCTGTAAGTGCCATATCCACTATCTTCACCGTAATCCCGCTTGTGTGTCGCGAACTACCGTCATTCTCCGATCCTTTAGTTGGGTTCGAAACCCGAGGCACAACTTTGGCGAGTCGTTTCATAGCGTGGGAAAATCTCATCGACGAAACGAGACCTTCCAAGCGGCTCGCTGTAAACCCTCAAGAAATAGAAGACCAAATTCGTATGAATCGCACTTACAGTAATAAGACCAGACCAGATAGACCTAGGTCAAGCCATGGTCACCCGCCTAAGAAAAAAGATCGGAAGAAAAAGAAAAAAGGTAATAACAGTACAGGGTTTGAGAAAATTTGGTATGATCCTCCAGAATTAAATAATTCTAACAATCATGTACATTGGGGGTTTGGTAAAAATGTTTCATTTGAAGATGAAGATACCCAATTCATCAGAGATCATACAAGGAAACAGTGGAAGACTCTAAAAGAGATGGAACGGAAACCTGATATGCCAATCTACCATAATTATGCTTATGGAACTTGTGGCGCACCAATGGCAGACTATGCTCATTTAGTTATACATAACATAGATAACACATCTCTACTTACTTTTGATAATGTGGAGAAAATGTGCACATTACAATCTTTGCTTGTGAAATTAGGGGGCAATGAGTATTATGAATTATGCCAAAGGTCGACTCACTCGGAGGACATATGTTGCCCCGTGTGGAGCGTGCCAAATTACATAGCTTTAATATCTGGCAAGAATTCTTGCGAAAACGTGACTAGGGAGGATGTGAACAAGACTGCTGTTATTTTGAAAAAATGTGCAGCCTATTTTCATAATTTCTCTTTAATGGCCTCATGCGAATTAGATCGTTGTAATGTCCCTAAGTATTGTGCACAGTATGATGCAGTGTACAATTTATTGTTTTATTTAGTAGACACTGAGGCATTCTCACCTCCTGACTATTCACAAAGTTTTGTCAGAAATGCTATGATATTCCTTCCATTGCCAGCTAGTAGTACAGTATTACCATATTATAATAAATTACAAAGTTCAAACCTATCTTATGATACTCTTGTTATACCGGCCATAGACTTTGGACTGAAAAATGCACTTTTTGACTTATGGGTTATACAAGACACTTGGTTGATAGGTCTAGGGGGAATTTTTGTATTCCTGTGTGTGTTGGTTTATACTAAATCTCTAATACTCACTTTGCTGTTATTTACAGCTATTACATATTCACTTGGAATAGCATACTTCTTGTATGTGTATGTGTTCAATTTGTACTTTTTTCCTTTTATGAATTTATTAGTCATAGTTGTTGTAATAGGTATTGGGGCTGATGATGCATTTCTATATGTAAAAGTTTGGAAAATGGTAGGAAAGCAATTGATTCGTGACAATGTGGTTAACCAAGACAATGGCTTAAACGACATAAAGAATGTATCCAGTGCAGGAGAAACTATTCTTGTACAGATTCTTGAAGAAACCCTGAAACATTCAGTGGTAGCTATATTTGTTACAACTATAACAACTGCAATTGCATTTTTTGCTTCCTATGTAAGCTACATTCCAGCTATTAACTGTTTTAGCGTATTCGCTGGAACAGCTGTTCTAGTCAACTTTTTTCTAATGATAACTTGGTTGCCTGTATCAGTATTCATAATAGATGTAAAATGGTCTACAAATAAAAAAAATATTATAGGCATAATGCATAAAGCTGCAAATGAGATTTGGGAGGATATCAGAGTAATAATGAATAGATTTATTATAGCTTGCATAACAAAACTACATATAGTGTTTGTTGTAATATTGGGTGCTATTGGAATTGCCAGTATTGTTGTAGTTTTCTACTTTCCTGGGCTCCAGTTGCCAGACTCTAACCAATTCCAGTTGTTTCAGACATCACATCCATTCGAACAATATGATATGCTATACAGGGATAAATTTCTTTTCGAACGGTTTGGTAAAGACATAGGGACTGGCAGTAAAATGCCTTTGCGATGGGTATGGGGCATTGAGGCTATTGATAATAGTAATCATATGAATCCAGCTTCAAAAGGATATTTAGTGTTTGACGACAGCTTCTCAATATCCGATCCGAAATCACAGTTGTGGTTGCTCGATTTTTGCAATAGGCTTAAAACTCAGCCCTTTTACCAGCCAACTCTAGGCCCTCTGCTTCCTAACTGTTTCATTGAAAGTTTCAGAACTTTTATGAGCCGACGTTGTATAGATAACATAGACAGAATAAACAGAACACCTTGTTGTGACATATCAAGATTTCCCTACAAGAAGGAAGTTTTCAACTTTTGCATTGTTAAAGCAATGGAATCACTTTATCAAACATCACGTGAACTTTTCATGCCAGGAGTAGCTGGGCCAAAGTTTTTGAGGAGAGCCAGTCCGCCAACTGTTGCCGCCATTGTTGTAGAATTTGAAAGCGTTGTTCCTTATTCAATGTCCTATGCAGCAATGAATACGTTTTTCCTGCATGTTGAAAACTGGACTCTACATGAATTGGTGTCCGCTCCACCTGGCTTGAAACGGGGCTGGTTTTTATCAGATTTTCAATTTTACGATTTACAGAGAACTTTAGCGAGTGGTACTGTGATGGCTTTATTATTATCCGCTAGCTTAGGTTTCGTGGTTCTAATACCGGCCACATTTAGTTTTGTCGTCAGTGTCTGTGCGCTTAGCGCTATGATATTTTCAGCGACTGTCACGATCGCTATTTTAGTGTTAAGTGAATGGAAGCTCAATGTACTGGAAAGCGTAGCTATATCGACTTCAGCAGGGTTAGCTGTAGATTTTAGTCTTCACTACGCTTTGAGTTACACCAGTGCCTATGGTCCAAAATCTGCCAGAGTGAAATATGCACTCTCAGCTTCTGCAGGGCCCACCGCTGCTGCCGCACTCACTTCGGGCTTTGCGGGGATATTTCTTTTACGTTCTAATCTTCTCCCTTACTCTCAGATAGGTACATTTTTGGCTTTGATCATGTCAATCAGTTGGGTTTACGCAACATTCTTTTTGTGTTCTTTGCTCTTTATCTTCGGTCGTACTGCATCAAAAGATACTCCCATAGAAGATAGGAAATCGGCCTCACGTGTTAGTTCCGTTTGCTCAGGAGTTCCCAATTTGGAAAGTCATGAGTTGGAGCATCTGGCTGACAGTAATCGTACGAATGTCACTCATTCCCATAGTCCTTCCAACATCAGCGCCACTACTGTTGTTTTGCACGATGACTTTGAATCTCAAAGAAAATTGTCATCGGACAAAAAAGCCAGTATTGCGGAAGGTACACTATCAAATGACGACGACTGAATGTTAATCTTATTATAGTACTTAGGACTATTTTTCACGTTTAACTGGTGTTAAATTATTTGAATATCTGAGGAAGTTTTTTGTAGCCTTTTTGACTTTTTTGCCCCGTTTACTTTTTGTAAATAGTTATTATTATTGAATCTCAAATAGTAGGAATGATTGTGACAATAATTACCACATATACCTATAGTTCATGTACGTACGACAATACAAGATTTAATCGAGCTTAGCTTGATCACTGTTATCGTGTTGTGTTACAAAAAATATGATGTTATTAATTTGAAACGAATGTTGCGATACAATATCTTCCCGCGCTTGTGTTACTATTTTGCACAAACCTAAATCGCAAATGAACAGTATTCCATATATTCAAGGTACCGTACCTTTGTAATCTATGTCAATTTACAAACAAAATGTTATTCATCGAAATATAATATAATATTATATATTTATGTAAAGGAAACTTAGAAGTACTTAAAGTTTGTAGTGTACTATTATAGTATTCTAAAATACCTTGGTCTCATTTTGCAAATTGTTTAAAATAGCGTTATTCGTTTTTTAAAACTCATTTGTAAAGCTATTGTGTACTATTTTTAATTGCAAAAACAATATGTTCCTTGTAATTTAATCATTAAATAAATGTTAGATTTAAAGTATTATTTTACTGTAAGTTGATGTTTCCACATTTTAACATTTCTCACGAATATGAGAAGAGATTATATATTTGTTTGATTAATGTTGACGTGATTTGGGAATTATAATTATGCATTTATAAACTATCCCATTTGCTGTTATTCTTAAACAAGTTCACGTAATTGGAAAAATGTTGATAAAAATCTAGATTTTTATTTTGTTATACTCGATGTTAGTGCCATATTCAAAAGATAAATGGTAGCTAAGGTTCTAAATATAGTTAATTAAGTTTATCCAGTGTTTAAAGTGGAACTAACAAACACGTAAATATTTTTGAATTTTGTACACATTTTATCACGCTATCAAATATAGTTATATAGTTTAATGTCGAGTCTCGCTACGTAGCGCCGATTCGCGTTATTCCACGTAATGGAAATGGAAGCAGGTTGGAAATCAGCTATAGGCGCCAAAACTTAAAAAAGAAAAACCCGTGACGTCTCGATTTTAATGAAATAAACATTGCCGTATGACGTTGTCTTATACACTTAATATAGGTATATATGTATACATATTAAGGTATAAGTCAATGTACATAATTTTGATGTTAAATATATCTACCGTATAGCCGAAGACGATTTAATTGTATGTATGGTACATTAATGTAAAGCACTGAAATTTATTCTTATTAGATCTTTAGTCTATATTAAGTTGGTATTATTATTGTACAAGGTCAAGAACACGTCAAGCTTTACACTTACGACTTAAATCCAACTCTATTCCGCTTACGATAAGAACGGTCAAGCTTGATGTGCTCTTGACTGTACTTAACGGTTAAGTATTGTGGAAAAAATTAAATAAAATGTTAAATTTTTCTAATTATTTTTGTCTTTGTTGATTAGTGATTGCCCAAAAATTAATAGCTATTATAACGTACTACGACTACACATCACGCATAACATATGGCGTATCGCCGTCAGTTCCTCAACGTACTACGAATGATAAAGTGCTTTATAAGGTTATTTTAAATAATATAAATTTAGTGTATGCATTTCATCTTCATCTCACCTGATGGAAAGTAGCGATGAGGTCGACTTTGAATCATGCACTGCACAATAACTTCTTTTTCGAGAAGAATTTGTGAACCGCAACATTCGCTAAGACTAAATTAACTATCATACATGATAATATAACGTAACTTAAATATAACTTAGCAGAAGGTATGTTACAGTTCCCATCACCTGTGCCATTTATTTCTTATTGTGACCGCTAGAGGCGCTCTGTATACCTGATTCACCATACAAAATTGTGAAGTAATTTACGCGATCGCTAACGACAACTATCACGGTAAAGTCGGTAGAGGCACTGAAAGAGATAAATTTTGAGTCATCGGCAGAGAACAAAAAGTAAAGAGAACGGACACTCCGCTCCACCCTTTTCTTTTATTACCCGAGGTAATCTGCTTATAGATAGCCCGGCCCTGCGGGGGCAGAGCCAGGGTTATGTGGGACTGGGCTGAACCCTGAAGGGGAGCAACCCGACCGCACGAAACCCCCGGGGTGTTCCTCCTATCCGCTGCAGGTAGAGGCACGGGTACGCTATCGCTCGTCCGCACCTCCACCAGCGGCTGGCCGCGCTCAGCGCAGACCTTCCCCGAGAAGGGAGACATAAAGGTCCCCCGACTCCAAACGTAAGGTCGACGAACACCAGACGAGCCTTCCATCTCGGGCCCCTCCATGCTGGGCAGCGAACTCCCCCGAGTCCGCTACCCAGGACAACATCCCCTCAACTGTGAAGTTCAGAGGACGCTCCCCCAGCCCCCGCGGCGGATTTGTTGGTAGTGACTATACGTAAAGAGTCCTTTGGAGCGCCCACCATACGGGCCAATCGCCCAAATTCGGACGCGGAGGACAGGGCGAGCAGCAACGACACATCCATCCATCGCGCCCACCATCCTCCTCGGGCCAGCCTAGCTCCATCGGCCGGCCCGTGAGTTCCTCTTACCTTCACCGTGGGATGAAATCGACCACGGCTACTAGAGCCCTCCCGCCACGACAAGGCGGGAATCCATTCGGGGGGCTCCGCTCCACCCTAGCTTTAGATACCGCACCACGCCCCGCACATTGACTTAACGACAACAAGGCTGCCGGCGTGTCGTTTTCGCGCGAAGACGGCTTTGGTACTTGAATATAGTTTTCATTTATTCATTACGAAACTTGTACGTTAATATAAAACATAATTTCACGTTACTATTTATAATGGTCGTGAATTGTGCTGTGTGCGACTGTTTATCACCATTTTCCGAAAGATGAAACGAAGTAAGTAAAAAGCTTATGTCTGAGACTCATTCAGTTATTGTTTTCTTCATTTATTTACTGCAGAGTAAAATATGTATGTATAAAAATACAGATTTATTATATCAATATAATGAGGCGCCATGACTTCGTGAACTAGTAGACAAGGGTTCTCGAATAATATACGTAAGTAGCGAATATACCTAATTATTAATTATGTAATGATGATCAACTTGGACACGCAATTTCAAATACCTTGGTTACCTTATTTATAAGTACATGTCCAAAACGTAACATTTTAAGTGCTTTTAATATATTTTTTAAATAAATCTTCAATATTACTCTAGTTAGTGAATTACGTTTTGGGAGTAATTAATCGGTTTTGTTCGCGTCCGTAGGTTGTGACTCTAAATTCCCTACACGTGACTCTTGGGTAGTGCCAAATGAATAACTGATTCCTTATGAGATCTCAGGTTGTGAGGCTTTACGATGGTCTCAAGTAATATTTAAATATCGCCTAGCTTGGTGGCAGAGCCCCTCATAGGACTCGACTGGTTAGCGACCACACTCGCGTCGGAGTCTATCGCAAAGCATCTTTGGATGTGTTCCGACTGCGCGCGCGAGTACTCCTCCTTCCACAATCACAGTCCTTGACACAGTCTCACCAGTTCTCGGCTCACATGGTCCTGTAATCCTGCTCTGCTGCGCTGAGCGTGCCGCTTTGACGTGTGGGCCAGGGAGACCCGGTGAAACGGTTGTCCGCTGGCCGCCCGCTGGTGCGTAGAGGACCCGAACCCGGGCCTGCCCCAGCCAGAGAGGCTGTCCTGCCGCCAGTGATAAAAGCCTATGCATTGGTCTTCGTGCCGGACTGGGACCCCGGAGTGGAACACGTCGGCTAAACTTAGGTTGGAACGGGGGCCCTTCCGTCCCCCACGCCAAGGAGGCGGTACACTTAGTGTTCCAGGGTGGAATATGGTCTATTCTTTACCCAAGTAACTGTTGAGACTGTGGCAATCCGCTTCACCCTCCTTTTACATATTTTTAATTTATGGCTGCTAAAAAATGGAAAAACGTTTATACAGCTGCGCCCTGTTCCATTTTAAATGTGAACTTTTGCAATATCAGGGGATTTCACTCTAACTTGAATGACGTTCATCACCATCTCGAGACGTCCAAGCCGGCCTTGTTTTTCCTGACGGAGACGCAGATATCTACCACGCCCAACGTATCGTACCTAATGTACCCCGGATACAGTCTGGAACACAAGTTTGTTTCTCGAATTGGGGTGTGCTTATACGTTCGGGATGATATCTGATGTCGCCGTCTACGTCTTGGCAGTTTCGAACACAAGGACTTGTCTCTACTCTGCGCGCGTGTTGATCACGAGGGCCACACCTATATCTACGCGTGCCTGTACAGGTCTCATAGCGGAGACTCGGAAACTGACCGACTCCTAAGGTGCGTCCAAAAGGGACTCGTCGAAATCCGGCAACAGCTTCCCTCAGCGTTGTTTCTCGGCAACTTTAACGCCCACCACATGGAGTAGTTAGGATCAGCACGTACCGATTATACAGGGAGAGCTGTGCGCAACTTTGCCGCTGCATATGACCTCACACAATTAGTCGATGGTCCAACCAGAGTACCGAACATTGAAGGTCATACCCCTGGCTTACTGGATCTAATGCTGACGTCTCACCCAGAAGGCATTCGGGTGTCTCGCCATGCCTGCTTAGGAACATCTGATCATCCACTGATCCGTTAGGTGGGTGTTACCCATGCCAGACGCCCCCGACCACCTGAGAGGCGTCGTGTTAGGCACTATGAGTCAGCTGATTGGGATGGATTGCATGAGTTCTACGCCTCCTTCCCATGGAAGCAATTGAGCTTCTCTTCGGACGATCATGACGTCTGCGCAGCGTCCATTGCCAACGCGACACTGTTGGGTATGGAATATTTTATTCTAAACTCTGCAGTGCGCGTCGGTGTTCGCTCTCAGCCTTGGTTTGGTAGGTTTTGCGCTGAAACTTACAACGCTAAGTGCATGGCCCACCACACATATGGAAAAAGGCACAAGGCACTTCTGCCAAAGCTACCATTTTACGGGCTTCCAAAAGGGCTGTGCACTTGGATCGCCAGCTTCCTGTTTGAGCGGAGCATAAAAGTCGCTATCGACGGATTGTGCTCGGACACCATGCTCATCAACGCCGGCGCGCAAGGATCTATGCTAGCACCAACCCTGTTCATCCTGCATATCAATGATATGTTATCAACTAGTAGCATTCATTGCTATGCAGATGACAGTACCGGTGATGCCTAATTATACAGGTCGCACAAATATACAATATAAAATATATAAAAATACCAGCAAGTGGAACAAAACAGACGGCAACTTGTGTCCAAAAATCGAGATTTCTTTGGAGCAGGTCTCAGAATGGGGCCAACAGAATCTAGTACAATTTAACCCCGCAAAGACACAAGTGTGCGCGTTTACCGCTAAAAAAATCCCCATTCGTGACAGCGCCAAAGTTCCAGTACACTGCCCTTACCATCTCAAAGAGTATTGGGATACTTGGAGTCGACATCAAGAACGACGTCCAGTTCCGGAGTCATTTGGAGAGCAAAGCCAAACTGGCTTCAAAAAAGTTTGGAGTGTTCAATAGAGCGAAGCAGTACTTTTCTCCAGGCCACCGACCACCGACTTTTGTTATATAAAACACAAGTACGGCCCCATATGTAGTATTGCTCGCATCTCAGAACAGGAACACCCATATACCAGCTTGATTCACTTGACTCCATCCAACGCAGGGCTGTTCGTATTATCGATGATCCCAAACTCACAGACGGTATGGAGCCCCTTAGCCTACGGAGAGACGTTGGCTCTCTGTGTGTGTTCTACCGTCTTTATAATGGGGAGTGTTCTGAGGAACTTTTCGAACTGGTGCCACCGTCTCGTCTCTACCATCCGAGTAAAGTTGGGGTAAAGGAGTAGAGTCCATCCCCACATCTTACATGCCTGGCATTGTAAGACCACGCGGGGATCTCGTTCGTTTCTTTCTCGAACCTGTAAGGTGTGGAATGATCTTCCTCCTGATGTGTTTCCATTGCGCTATGACATGGGGTTCTTTAAAAGGCGTGTTTACAGCGCTATCAAAGGCTGGCAACGCATAGGCAGCTCATCGGATGTTGTAAATGTCCATAGGCGACAATGACCACCTTCTTCAAGTAGCTCGTCTGCTCGTTTGCGGAATCATAGATAATAGATTCGCGTTAACATTTTCGCTATGTTGCCACTCTGATCACGTAACGTAATAGTGCGCACAGAACACTATAGTGCGAGAAAGTGATGGGTAACCCTGCCACTTCACGCACGAATTTGCGCGTGTGCAGATAGCGCCTTGCTGTATGCAGTAGTAGTAGGTAAATAATTTTCGACCGGAGTATGAAGTGTCCGGGGTGTGTCATCAGTCATTGTCAACCTGAACACGAATGTTATGTGCTAGCGATGAGCGAGTCGAATTATTTAACTATAGTCACTCTCACTACGAGTCAACCCGAGTTACTTTTTTATATTTCGGAACCCGCCGAGCCGAATAACTTCTATACATCGCAATAGCAGTGGCTACTCGTTCTTACTCGGTCGGTTTGCTCGAGTCACGAGGGATGGGCGAGTCGAGTTACTTTACTCGAGTTACTCCCACAACGAGTACAATTCGAGCTACTTTTTGTGAACTCGAGCTAGCTCGGTCGGTTCCCGCCGAGTCGAATACTTCATTCATACATCGGCGTGTCGGCTATTCGTTCTCACTCGGTCGGTTCGGCGACTCGAGCGTGCTCCAATCGTGCCCAACTCGGTGTATTGTCGGTTCGAGTTCTACTCGCGGCTCGCGGTTGTTCTGTCAGACACCAAATCGAGTTAACTCGAATTATCAGTCACGTCAACTCGAGTAACACGAGTTGAAAAAAATATAACTCGTCCCATTGTTAATAAGTGCGCGGTTTTTCTGATTTATTACTTATACTTAATATAAAAAATCAAAAAATGTGATTTCTAGGTAACTTTAAAAACTGTATATACAGAGTGTTTTTTTTTAATAGGACAGTATGGGCAAATACGAAACCATAGAAGATATAAGGAAATTGTCTTACGAACCATTCCAACTTGTATCTTCAATGGTTTCGGATTTCCCTATAACTGTCCCATTTCAAAATAACACTCTGTACCTATATAAATTTCTCTTTTACAAATGGATCTTTAATATGTTTATTTAAAAATTATTCGCATTAGATGCATCCAGTATTTTTTTATTTTTAAATTGTGTTTTCTCAATTTCACAACTTTAAGTTACACACCTATACTTAGCTTAAATCCAACTCTCTGTCGTTTACGATAAGAACAGTCCAAAGTACATACAAAGTGTCAAGCTTGATGTGGAGACTTCGCGACACCAGCATACATTTACTTAATGGAAGATCCTGATCTACCATTGTTGAACTAAATTGGGAAATGAATAAATTTATAATTTTTTATGTGCTCTTGACTGTACTACAGTATTAGATTTTATGTGCGACTTTATGCCGTACCGTAATGCTGAGTCATGTATGTGAAAAGGACTTGGAGGATGAAAAGGAACGCAAATAACATTTTGACAGTTAAAATTGTATGTTCCATTTTATCTTGTTTTTGTGCTCACTTGCTTCTTCTCTGTCTAACTCTGAGAAAAATGCCCATCAATTCTAATAGACGTTTAGTGTTTGCACTTTTACCTCTAGACGACAGAAGTTTTCTGTGTTCTGTGCAGGATTGCCAATTTGTGGGAAACTCCCCAAATTGCGGGCAATTTCAACTAGATTGGGGATTTTGTGGGGATTGGTGCTATGTGGGGAAAATTCTAACATTTTATGATTTTGTTTTATCTATCGATGCATTGCTAGTTTGATCGTTATTGTTAGAAACACTGTGATGAACTATATCGATGTGTTTTTCAACATGGCACATCCCTCGCATTATTAACAAGCAGCTTAAATAGAATTATTATAAGATCGTCTTGGTTCTGAATTGTAAAATGGGAAATATGTAAGTGCATATCAGAAAACTCAATACGTATAAAATTATGTTCATTATTCAAATAATTTGCACATCTAGCCAAATATTTCGCTACAATTAGAACAACTGTCTAACAAAACTACTATCAAAAATAATTTAAAAACATATATCAAAACTAGACTTCTGCTAATTTCTCAGTGTACAACGAAAGTGTTCATTTATTTACAAAAATATGGTTTACATAACAAAAATTATGATTGCACATCAATTTAAATTAACTCTAAACAAAATAACAATTCTTTTAATAAAATTAACGTAATTTTTCTCAAAAGTTGTTCCATAAATTATCTTCGTGTATACAGTGAATCACGTACAACAAATATTATATTTGAAGTTGATTTTCTTGTAAGCAATTCATAATATTGGAACTAAATTGAACCTTTACTTGCAAATACAAAAAAAAATTACTACGAATTTCAAGCATTAGACTTTATTGCAATGTTTGTGTGCAATTTTAATTATTTTTTTTGATCTTATTGTTTTGGACAATTTGTACAATTAGACCATTATGCCATACAAAATGGTGTTTCATTCCTATAGACTGATGTACTTTTCAGTGAAATAGGTATGTTTTTTCTCATAAATTTGTGGTCATACGTTTGTTGTATGCCAGAAATATTAGATACCTATGTATTTAGATGTTAGACATGCATTGTGATAAAATGTTATGCTTTAATTTTAGTACACAATGCTAAATAAATGTTCTTTTGATGTACATATTTTGATGTGTAATTGGTACTTTTGTTTGAGAAGTGGCATATTATTATTTGGTTGTGAAACAGCTTGCTTTTTTGGTAAACGGTTAAATATTACCCTTATAAAATTACCAGTCGGTGCGTGTTGAGTTCACGTTCCTTTTTCACACTTAGGCCCGTCCCCGGTGTGAATAAAAACGAAATCAGCTATCGATAAACAAAGCCGAGCAGTTGGTACTTCCACAACACAGCTTATCACTCGGCACTCGTCAACTTTAAATGTTAAATATAGATGGAAACTTAATTTACTCATTGATTTTTTCTAATATTACCCATAGTGTCACCTAATGCACAACAAAATAATTAAGTTACTTAATTTTATAAGGCAAAGAAATATGATTTCTTTTATTCAAAGTTTGATTGATGTTGAATCTCATTAAAATAAATAAACGATTTAAGGTCATCTAATTTTATAATTTGCTGTACATTTTACATTCACAGCAAATATAACAGATGGTTACATTTTGAGTTTCTTAATTCTTTATTATAATTGTTTTTAAGCGATGTATTTGTAATAAATAATGGTAACTCGAAATGTGGGGAATATGAACTTTGTTCTCCCCAAATTTGGGGATTTTAACCGTGATTTTTGGGGATTTTGAACATTTTGGGCATTGGCAACGCTGGTTCTATGATTAGATGAATAGATTCGCTCTGGACCTTTTGGAGGGAAAAGTGTCGTTTTTATTTTGA